GAGAGCATTCACGTAGCTGCACTGAAATCATGCTGCTATTGCTGCGACCACGCTGGGCTGTGGCTCCAGGTCAGCCTGGGTCTGCTATCTCTGCTGTGGTTGACAATGTCTCCCTGCTCCTCCGCTTAAATACCGCACGGTCCCCATATGGCTCTTTTGGTTTCAGGCAGCATCACATCTGAGTCACACTTGGCTAGTTTGTAGTCATAAAATGATATGAGTGATCACTCTTACATCACAGCGGCAAGCAGTCCCTTTGGTTGGGCATTTATAGACTCTTGAATCATTGAGGCAGATTTTAGAACGTAAATAAAGAATAGACCAAGAAGATTTGGCCTATCAAGGGTGTCCATAAACTGTGCCACCAGCAAGTGTCCTCAGATCCCAGGGAAATGGAGGAAGAGTATGTGGGTTGCTTAATTACTCTGTTTCTGTGGCTGAGCCCGGGGTGTCAGGAGCAGGTGGGCTTCTCAGCTACTTAGAAGTTGCCTGATGCTTCCTGTGTGGGATGCCACCTGTGCAGTTCTGTTTTAAAATGATGGGTACCGGCATCTGTATACATAATTTAAAGTAAATTTACATTCTTATTCTGCCTGAGACAAGGAGATTGTGTACTGGTGTGATTAGAGAGAAGAGTGAGGATTTGGGGAAGGGTTGAGAGAAGCATCTGATAGCATTTTGAGATTCAAAGCTCTTGGTATGAAGTTCTTCTAGTTAAAGCTGAGTGGATAGATGGATAGATGGCTCTATCTAGATGGCAAAGAAGAAGTGAGGGGCAGATGCAAGGTTAACAGTTTATTTTGGAGTTGGTGGGATTGTAGATGCTTTTTGTTGTCCATATTCACTTGCCTTTTCTAAATTTTTCTGTAATTAATGAAAGTGTGAAGTAGAAAGTGGCCTTAAATAACCCTGGAAGGGGAAAGTCTTAGACTCTGTGTTAGTCGTTATCGTTCTTCATTTTACACACACACACACACACACACACACACACACACGTGCACACACATTTCCATTTCTTCCACTATATGCATAGAAATACAAATACAGAAATACATGTAGAAATAGATACATATGTATTCTATATACGCACTGTATATATTCTGTATATGTATCTATTTCTATATGTAGTTTTGAGGACATGGAGGCTTGTGCCTTCTGAAGCTGGGCATGACCACATGACTTGCTCTGCCACACAATGTGAGCAGAAGTGACATCTGTACTGTGGGGGGAGGCCTTCAGATCTGTCCTCTGTGCAGTTTGTCACATTCTCCTCCCCACACAGTAGAGGCGAGTGATGTGACAGAAGGTGGAGGCCCGATCTGCCTGGGCCCCTGGCTAACCAGAATGAACATGGATTTACTGACCTGGGATCAGTGTGTGTGAGTAGTGATCCTTGATTGTTTTACGACACCGAGGTTTGGGAGCTGTTCAGTGAGGACACTGAAACACCTTCTCCTGGTCAGTAGGGAGGCGGTCGTGTGAGCCGTACTAAGGAAGCTGGACCATAGCTTATTGGCTGTTCTAATGTACTAAGGGGTTTTAAGCGAGGACTTTGTTTATGTGTTTGATTTGCCAAGAGCAAACCCAGCCCAGAGAAAGCCTGGACTTCTTATGTTCTAGATGGCAAATGCTAATTTAACACCCTCTAATTAAAAACCCCACCAGTTCTGTAGTGGTGGTGGAACAGTCTGCATCCTAAATGTGGTGATTGTTGTAGGAATCTAGGCAGAGTAAAGTGTCATGGAATTGTACACAAAGATAGTCCAAACGCAAGACTCTGAGTGCATCCCCAAACTGGTCAAGCCCAGGCAATGTCTGTGGTCTCATGGGCTGTGTTTGCACCACTGTGGGTTTTCTGCTTCTGGTAATGTGCTGTAGACATGGGTAAGATGTCACCATCGGCAGTGCTGGGAGGTGGGGGACTCTCGGTGCTGTTTTTGCCACTTCTTGTGGGTCTATAACTGGTTCCAAATCAAAGTTAACAGTAACAACAGAAAGTTCGTGAGTTATACCGGAGAGGTGCATTGTGGTCAGTCCTGGATTCCTGGCCAGACATGGCAGGAAAGCTCATACTGGTGGACGGAGCATCCGGCTCCCACCCAGCAGACGGCAGTTTGTGGGTGTTGCCTGCAGTGCCGGGGCCGTGGGCTCCTGTTTTGAATGCTTTCCATGATAAACATGTCTATCATGTTGCTAGGTTTGTGAGACAGTCAGAAGAGCAGCCCTCCCCAACACACACACACTGATTCTAAAAGCTGTGTGTTTTTTCTTCCCTGAACTGGCCAGATTGCACATAGTTTCTCTGCATTTCACAGGGTCAGTAGCAGAAACAGGAAACCTGGTGCTGGGGGCAGGGGAATTACCTGAGTAATAGTGTGTGGACTTGAATCACTGTCCCCAGGAGCCTAGTAACCCACAGCCTGTGGATTAGTCTGTTGAACTACTCGGTGGCTTGTGACCCCTTGTTCCCTCTGGATGTGTATGTTCTGATTTTGTACTTATTGGTAGTGGCAGCTCTGTACTTTATTTTAAAGTGAAGGGGGAGGACCAAAAGACAACTTACCTGTTGTAAGTTACACATACAGAAGGATGTACTGGCCCACTTGGCTGAGCCATCATTTTCTTTGAGAGATTGCTTTGGGGTCACCATCTGGGAATGTTCTCCCTGTTTGATGAGGGAAATATGTATAAGCCTTTTTATGATACCTAGCCTGCATATCCCATGGGGTTTCCCTAAGGGGCTTGGCTGAGAGGAACGGTGTCTTTCCCACCGCTTCCCCAGCAGTTTTCCTCTCGTGATAGATTCAAAGTTCTGTAAGATCCTCTGTGTGGCAGTGAGCATCTTGCTCTAAGTGAAGTAAGGCTGGGGCCAGAGGCCGCAGTATGAGGGTGAAAGGCCACTTTATTTGCTAACTCTTAATGTCAGATGGAGTAAGAATCTGTGGGGAATAAAAATTAGCCGTTGACAGACTCAGTACTCTGAAGAGATTTTAGTCATCGGATGGTCATCAGCCACGCAGACAGGGAGTGAGTAGGGTTTTTCTCCTGGTCTGGAGGCCCAAGCTGTCTACATGGTACAACCTCAGTCAAGTGCGTTCATCTCTGCCGTTGGTGGTGTCTTTCTCTATAAGACAAGGGGTGTGGCCTCACGTCACTGTGGATCCTCCAGCTCTACTATTCTCTGGTCTTAGGAAGCTCCTAACAAAACCCGTGTGGTGATATTTTCCCCTCTTCCTGGCTCAGGTTAAATGTTTCTGCTCCTTCTCCTGAAATCGGCATGCTTGTGCTCCTGCCACTGTTACCCGAGGAAATTCAGTCTACATTGGTCAACTTGCCTTCACCACCTATATGCCTGTTGGGATTGGGGTAGTCCTTTTATCACCTTACATCTCTTTCCCTAAACCTTGGCTCTGTTAGGAGACATGCCCTGGATCGTCTTCTAACAGCGAGCTGGTCTGACTCAGTCTTCGTTAATACCATTCCATCCCCCATGCTGCTCTGTAGCCCACGCAAACCACTGTTTGTTGCAGACCTGAAGGAATCTGGCACACGAGATACCGTATCTACTTCTTGTTAAGTTTGTTAAATGCCTTCTCTCTTGCAGGCTGGGTGTAAGGTGCTATACACTCACTCTCACAAGTCTGTGAGGAGATAATTAATATTTTGCTTTTATACATGAGGGAACCGAGGCTCAGCTATGTTAAATGGCCCAAAGTCTTCTGGCCTCCCAGCTGCCACTGCCTGATGTTTGTTGTTCAAGGCTGGGGACCCAGGTTCAGCCCAGCACTGAGGCAGCCAAGACAAAGTGCTGTGATGTACTAAGCATCTCAGCACAGTTTGTATCTCTCCCCGAATAAGACAACTGAGGTGGAGGAAGTGCCCGGCAGTGCCGCTGGCATCCCCCTTCGTAGTGCTTGTCTCCTCGGTCCCACCATAGCATCACAGTCCAGATGAGAATTCCCAGCCTTGCCACTTGTTCTCTGGGAATTAGCTTATCTGGACAGGCAGGTGGCCCTGGCATTCTTGGCTGTATGTGCTTTGGAGGACAGAGTTCTAAGAAGGGATAGTATTTAACTGTGTACTCTGCAGGCCAGCCAGGCTTAAAAATTGGGAGTGCCCCATAAACATGGGGCAAGACTGAAAGGCAACCCTCATCTTTCCAGAATTATGCTAGGACACTGCCCAGTGGAACATGATTTGTTCAAACCCTGATGCCCTTGGCCTTCTGGCTTCTGTCAAGGAGGGAACATGGGCTTTGATGTCAGACTGACCGGGGTGAATCTTTGCCCCCAACCCTTCTTAGCTCTGGGATCTCTTACAAGAGGCCACATGTAAAATAGGGGAAGTAGAACCCATTGAGTTGCTGTGGGGATGAAACGAGGTGGTGCATGGTCAGCGCCGAACAGACAGTAGTCATTCTTACCATCCACGTGTGCTCCACCCATCTGTAGGGTTTTCCGGGTTGTGAAACCAGAGGTCTCTCTGGGATCTAGGTCACTTGGAATCGATGAGTTTTGCCTGCTTTCGTACTTTTCTCTAAATGATTCGTCTTTAATTTTTGACACAGGCTCAATGGAATTATTTCAGGACCTGGATGGATCTGAAATCTTTTGAGATAAAAATATCATCCGCTGAATTCTTGCACAGACCAGGCTTTGTCCTGGTGTTCCCCTATTTTTATGGGTTTTGATTTTTTTTTTTAGGATGCAGATTGAGAGGAGATGCGTGAGCCTGAAGACCCTTTGGAGGCTCCTCCGTGTGCTGAGTGAAATAGCACAATCCCCAGCCTGCGGTTTTAGCAGATTCCCAGCCTCACATCCTCCCAAACTTGGCAGTAAAAGCCCTGTTCTTCCATTCATTCCGATGATTTATATTCTCTTTGGGCGTCTAATATTAAACAGGGGAATTCCGACATGTTCCATAACACATTTACTGTAACTTGATACCATGAACTAAACTTGCTGTTATTTATCATTTCTTTTTATTTTCTCTCATTCCAGCACAAAGCCAAGGTAGAAGCAATGACCCTGGACCTTGCTCTGCTCCGTAGCGTGCAGCATTTTGCTCAAGCGTTCAAGGCCAAGAATCTGTGAGTGTTCCAGTGGAGGGTTATAGATCATAATATCTTGCTATTGTAATGTCTTTATCAGATGAACACAATTGGGAGAACACAAACGTGAGGCTGTTATGTTGTCCTGGCGTCCAAACAGCAGGCTCATTTATATTGGCCCTGTTAAGGTGTACCATATTTTCTTGACTTTTTGAGTCACCCTCATTATGAGACATGTCATCAATCTAATAACAGCTCCCCCAATAAAAAAGGAGAGATACTATTCATGCACTAGTAAAAGTGGCTAATAAAAACCAGCCGATTGTGGGACGCATCTTGATTACCGATATTTTTGCAGTGCATCTCAGAATCGAGAAAAAGCACATTTTCATTCAACCAGGAATGAGTAGCCTTATTTATCCAGTCCTCCAAGGGGGCCAAGAATCAGAGCCTGAGACAGTTCTACCGTTTCCACGTCTGTGATGATTTTATCTGGTGTATGAACATGGCTCCAAAACATGGACTCACGTTGTGGGAAAGTTACTCTTCTTTCCTTCTTTTTTAGTCTTTCCAAATGTCCAAAGGAGGATGCCTTCACTAGGGGCTGGCACATGTTTATGCTGTCACATGCCTACCTCCCTTTGTAATGGGGGGAGAGAGAGAGAGCGAGAGCGAGCGAGCAGAGCTCCGACCCGGAGCTGGGGAAAAGCAGTGGTGGCCAGCTCCGTTTTAATGACCATGTTTTGTTTCCAAGTGTTTATTTTTATGGTTCCCTCATATTGAGGGCAAGCAATACTGGTTTCTCATTTAACATAGCAGTTTGAATTTCATTTAAAAAAAAAAAACTGCATTTAATTTTTTTTTTCAGTGAATTGATTTAAACACGAGGATTAAGTTAATAACAGTACAGGTGGTGCCAAGGATAAGATGGTTCCAGAAGTGGCACCAGGATGACTGAATTTGGGAGAATGCTGATAAATGACAAGTTGTCTTTGGGTTAGGCTGTGTTGGGAGTGTTGGTTTTATAGTTCTTCCAGCAGATGACGGACGTATGGGGAGGCATTTCAACCAGATAGTCAGAAGGCACGGAGCTCGCCATGTTGGCTGGTGGCCAGTCGCTCTTGAGTCTGCCTCAGCGTCTCACTCTACTCTTTTATACGGCGAGGAAGTTTGTTCTCTAAAGCCTTTTAGCACATGGTCTGAGTCCTTGAGGTTGAAATACAAAGTCAGAGTCTTGAGTGCACTTGCATGGTCCCTGTAAATGCAGGCCCTGCACTCAGCGAACAGTCGGTCACGTCCCCAGTGAGCCAGCAGACCCGGGCGAGCCTGCTGTGTGTGCTCTCCGCAGTGTCTGCCCGTCGGCGGCTGCCAGCCTGCTCCGGATCCCAGACAAGGGTAGGTCAGGGTGCAGCGGTGGTGACAAAGACATGTGCTTGCGTGTAACTGCATCACTTGCTCATTCGCTTTGCACACACTGAGTGCCTCTAGAGCCCCAGCCGCTCTTCTGGGCTCTGGGAAGAGAGCGCTGCTCCCTGAAAGCCCACTTCCCCGCAGACAAGAAGCCGTAAGCTCAGGCGCCAGCAAGCAGTTTTATTGCTCAGGGCTGACTCCTCAAACTACTGCCTTTGGGGTTGTTTGGAAAAATAGTAGTAAAGCAGCAATGAGCGGTAGCAGTTCATGTATCCAGGGCTGTTATGGGCCACACACTGAGAACCCTTTGCGCGCGTTTTCTGATTTGCTGCTATTTCTTATTCTGTTATACAGATGAGGAGAGCAAGACTAGAAGGGGAATGTGGGTTATCTGAGCGCCCACAGCTGGGAAGCAGGCACCCCCCACCCCCAGCCCCGAGAGCCTCTGCGGCAGTCTCTCCGGGCCTCCTGCTCACCCACCACGCAGCCCTGTCTCTAACTAGAAATGCAGTGGAAACCGAGATCAGAGGCAATGAGTGACTCTCGCAGGGTCACGTGGCAGACTGGGAGCAGGCATGGGACTTCCCTCCAGTTCTGACTGTCATGCTATCCCTGACACGGTGCGGCCTCTCTGTGCTCCCTCCAGTCCCTGGGTCAGGCCGCGCTGGGAGCAGCAGGCGCGCCAGCAGTTACATAACAGGACTGTCTTCCAAGTCGTAGCAAGACCGTTAGTTCAAGCAGTTCAGAAATCATCAAATTCAATTGCCTTTTGTAATCACCAACCTCAAACTCTTGGAGAAGGCTATCACCCATTTTGCTCTAATCCTAGATTTTAGCAAATGACTGAATTTTTGTACTTGGAGGTTCAGAAACGAAGGCAATTTTCCTTTTAGCAAAATCCTGTACCACAAACCTCTTTTTATATGTCTCTCGAGATCCAGCCTTTTACACGGCTTAGAGAAATATTGTGGTGGCGAAAATATGCATAAAAAAGTGAGTGATTTTACTTTTGAAATACTGCCAGAGTGAAATCTCTCCTGGATAGGCAGATGACAGTTTAGTACTTACGGGCCTTCAGATTCTGAGCACTGTCAGAAGTGAACACAAGTGCAGGTGGCTGGGCTGCCAAAAACCCCGTGTAGCCTCCTGCTTCTCATCACCTCCCATCTTCAGACATGGAAATTTCCTTGTGTGTAAAACGTAATGACAAATGAAAGAAGGTCTGCCAGTTCAGAACCGATCTCCTTTTGTGCTGTTGGACTGAGGAGAGGAAAAACCTCGCATTGAAATTCTATGTGGATGGCCCTGTTTACTACTCCGTTTGAGAGCCTGCGAGCACCCCAGAAGTATTGCTGGCCTCCTCTCTCCATGTGTATTCCCCCTGGTTCCTGCTCTAGCCCTCGTGCGCCTCTCTGCACCGGGAGAGGCGGCGTGTTGTGTAGACTGACACATGGAAAGGTAGAAACAGATGCTAGATGCAAACCCTGCTGGAGGGGGCAGCCTATCCTAGAGCCCCCCTCCATCTGCCTTCTACCCGGAGGAGATGTGCAGTCAGCCCACTCCGGGATGTCGTCTTTTTTCCGGGCAGGGGGGAGAGGTGGAGGGTGGGAGGCTATTTCAGAATGAGCACCACTAATAACGGTCAAACAAAATAATAGCTGCTAGCCAGCTTGCTGTTTCTTCTGTGCGAGGCAAGGTGCTGAGCACTTGCACGTGAATTCTCTCTTTCATTTCTTATAGCCACTCTAGGCATTAGTTTTCTCTCTAGTTTACCAACTGAAAGGCTCCAGCCTTTCACGGAGAGGCTAAATTGCTTTTCCAACTTTAGCCAGTGGTGTATCTGGCAGTTTGAACCCAAGTTTGTCTGAATCTAGAACAGCTCTTCTTGCTGTGTTTCATTCTTCAGTCCCACGTTTCAGCGCGATTCCTGTACTGGGATGTGCCTGAGCAAGACCTTACTCCACAGTTTCGCAGTTTAACACCATTACAAACAGGAAACCTGCCCATGCTCTCTTTCAGTTAATTTAAATCAATTGCTTGTTCAGATGCAATGAATGCACTTTAATCTGTAGCTTTCCCCTCTTTTTTTTAAGTTAATGCAGCTTGTTGAAGTGATAAGGTTGCCCTTGAGAGTTTTCTGTATCCTGTACTTGAGGAACTGCACCCCGATGGTGCCATTGAACGTGTTCTTTTGTCTCCTGAGTTTCTCAGGAAGTGTAGCTAACTCTAGAGCCTGGTCCAATGCCCATTTAATTCTCGGGCATGAGTGCTGCGCAGGTGGTGGGGTAGTCTACCATCGAGAAGACGTACGCAGCTGCTTGCCGACGCCAGCTTTGCTGGGCACGGCACACTCTGACCGCTCCATTCCTCTCCCACCTCTGCTTGCATTCATTCATTCCGCTCTCCACTCACTCTTCCGGGTGGTCAGGCCAGGAATCCTCTGCCTGCTTCCAGGCAGTTCTCCCCATAGTTAGTGGTGGTAGTGGTCGGCCAGTGTGTCTCAGGTTGAATTATGTTGTGCATTACTGGAAAGTTCCAAGCCCGAGCCTGTGGTAAGTCCCAACCAAACTGAATTTTGAAGGAAATTTTGTTTCAACTGCAATCCTGGACAACAGCCAGACTCCACACCGGCTGGCAGGCGGAGGCATCCATTAGCGTATGAAGAGCTGGGACCTTTACTGGTGATGCAGACCAAATACTGGCATTTTCTGAATTGGGCTCTGCAACCATAGTCCATTGTTTGGGGCACTTTTGTATATTTTCATTCCTGGTTTCTAGCTGCTTAGCTCCCTGAAAAGTGCATATTTTGAACAGAGCCTGGAACAGTTTGACAGCTACTAGAACTAGCAGCTCTGTAGATACTTTGCCTTTTTTAGAAGATAAAATGTTTGAGTTCTGGGTACTCCTGAAATAATGGACACCTGGATTCCAATCCTGGAGTTTTGAAAACTGGTAATGGCACATAATACAGGAAGTTCTTGGCTTGGATCCCAGGTACCAATCAGCTCTTACAGTGTTGACCAAGTGTTTTGATCTCTTCTGAAAATTAATTGAAATCAATAGTCAGTTCATATTAAAATAATATATACAATTCTGATGGTTTCTAGAACTTCCTTTTTGGTCATGGATCTCTACTTTACCTTCTCAACTTTCTGTCTCCAGTATAATTTAAGGAAATTAGACTTTGTTTCATTTAGAAAATAATATAGAAAAGTGATGTTTTTAAAAAAAACTGCTAAGAGAACAGTTTTCTTTATTTTTTAAACATTTGAGGGGGACAATCTTTAACAAAGTTATTTATTTTTACTCTTTACTAAATTATTTTCAGAACTTGAATCTACTGAACCCAGATATAATATTCTTGGATCCTTATTCCAAATTTTGCTTTTTCAAATCCTTCTATGGAAGTGGGTGGGCCATAAATTATAAATAAATTCTACATTTTGAGGGATAAATTACCCTGAAGACCAATGTGTAAATTACGGCTTAATCTTTCTTTTTCTTCTCAGCTCAATTTTAAGAATAATGTTTTAGCCAACATATCTGCATTCCTCTTTGCTCGACACGAGAAATCCATTTCTGGTTTGCCTAGCAAAGGATCATATTGCTTTGCTTTCCTACACAGTACG